GAGCTTGGGAATGCTGCTGGTGCCCAGCACAGTCACTGGAGCAGGAGGATGGCACAGAGCTCCTGCCTTCTGGAGCCTGCTGCTCCCATTTTCCAGGCAAACCTGGGAAGCTGCATCCCTGTTGCTGATTATTTTATCTAACCTGAGAATATTGATCCAGGTGGGTGTGCTTGGGTTTTTAACGCAGTGTTAGGGATGGAGAAGGAATTTTTTCCAAACATCTCTCTTTTCCTGAGGTCAGTTTGTGATAATGACACATGTGTGTTCCCTCAAAGTGTTCCACAACATCCCAAATTCCTGCTTGGATGTCTCTGTATGAGGAACTGGAAGAGGGCAGGTCTGTGCAAACCTCCCATGGGCTTCATCCATGTGTTTGCCAAAGGATTCATCCTGCAGGACACGGAACCAGCCCTGTGGGTTTGGGAGCACCTGTAAAGCTTCTCCTTAATGGTGTTCCTGGAGTGGGGCCAGAGGGCTCAGCGACTACAAAATGCCAAATCTTGGGTATGGGCAGAGGGGTGAAAGAAAACACAGTCATTCCAACCCGAAAAATCCTTATTTTTATCTCCATTCAACATCATGGACCAGCTTTATATCCAAGTGCATGTTCCCACCTTAAGCCAGAGGAAGCCCCACGTACCTGAGCAGCCCAACATCCTCCCTTTGGGCTTCCTCCTGTTCTAACTCCAGCTATCCCTGAAGGAGCTCCTTGGGATGTTTGTTTGTCCTAAAGCCGGATTTCCCTGGGCATCATTGTGGGGTTTCACCATCTCTCCATAAGCAGGAAAGGACTCCAGGTCCAGGAAATTCCTTAGCTGGGGACAGCAAGCCATGATTTGGTTGCCCCTTCCCAGCCATGGAGAAGAAAGACCTTGTCAACCAGAGGGAGCAGTCCTGGATCCCCACGGTGCCTGGATCCCAGAGGGATGAGCCAGAGCTGGAGATTGCTCCTCCCCTCCCCAGCAAAATCCCCAAAATCTCATTGGCAAAGGAACGGAAATGCACAGAAAGACGTCGCTCTTCCTGCAATGCCTCTGATCCTCATGGAGAGCTTTGCAAACAGGAGCTGGATTAGATTTCCCAAACCCAGCTGAACTGTGGGAATGCTGCTGCCTTATCCCTGTTTCCAGGAGGGAATATGGAGGTGAATATGTCCTGCTCACCCCCGCCTTTGCTGCAAGGTGCAAACCGGGGGCCAGCCCTGATTTTGGAGATTTTGGCATTATGGGGCCACCAGGAGCTGCCCTGCAGACTCTCAGCTCTCCTCCCAGGATGGATTTTAGCCAAATGCTGAGGAAACGCTGCTCCCTGTCACTGCTGGAGAATCAGGAATGATGCTTCCCAGGCCAGGGACTTCCCGCTCTCTGCTCCCAGCTCGGCTCCCTCTGGCCAAGGATGGGGCTCTGCACTCTCCTCAGAGCAATGGCAATTCCTGCAGGAGTTCTGGAAACAAGTCAGCCCTGCTCCAAGGGGAATAAGCCAAAAAAACCCCAAATTCAGGATTAGGAGCACCAGTGAATGTGTCCAACAGCCCTGCCCGTTTTTTTCTCTCCGTGCTTCCATCAATCCCTGTTTTTCCCATGAGCCCGTTCCCTTTCCTACACTTCAACAGTCATTTCTGAAATAGGGGTATTCTCTCCAATCCATCTTTTGGGATGACTCCAGTTGTTTTCTCCTAGTTCCAGGTTCTGCCCTCTCCTTAACTCTGCTTGGCACGGATGCGGCCACGTCCTCATCCTTCGAGGCATCACCCTTATCTTGACTTTCCGTGTCCAAGACTTTCTTTTCTCTCTTTGTCCTTTTTGTCCCATTCAAAAGGGCCACACAGGAGTGGGAGGGGTATTTGTGGCATCTTGGAGGCATCCATAGGATGCCTCCCCTGCATGGCTGAGGGAAGAGGATGGGACATCTTCCTCCCCAGGGATTCTCTTCCATCACAGAGGCTTTGGCAATACAATTGGTTTGTCCAAGGATGGCCTTGCATTGCTCCCTGCTTCCCATCCCAAGGGAAGCACATTCCCCTCCTATGTCCTGACCCTGTGAGGTGCTCAGAACCCAAATCCTTGGAATTCTCCATTCAGCACCCCAGCAGATTATTCTGTTCCATCAGAAGTGCTCATTCCACCGCTCCCAGCCCCATCCTGCCATTCCCATCCTGCTCCACATTCCCCTTCCACCTCCCGAGCTCCGGAGCGGCTGCAGCCGGTCCATCCTGGCACGTGAAGGGGAATATCGTGAAATCCTGTTTCCTCTGCAGGGAGAAGGAGTCTCCGGGCTCCTTGTGAGATCAAGCTTTGTGCACATATCTGCAAATGTTGGGCCAGAGGTTAAGCTGAGCGGGGCTCGGGGAGGAGGTGGCGGCGCTTAGCAATGCAGATCAGATGGCTCCGAAGCCTCTGCTATCCGTGGCCAAATCCTGGGATATGGAGGGCTTTAAACCATAATGAAGTCAGGGGAAGGAAGGAGCACTGCTGGCTGAGGAAGGACTGAGCTCCCTGACAGGAAGCTCTTTGATCTGCTGGTGGCCGTGAAGCTGCCCAGATGTCTTGGTGGCTGTCGGGGACATGAGCGTGGCCTCTGAGGCAATCCCTAGGGATAATCCTGGCTGCCGCCTCCTGCAGGGAAGCAACGACACCCATGAAAGCAGAGCTGGGGGTTGGGAGATGCTCCACGGTGCTGGGAGGGGACAAGCAGGACGGAACGGCTGGAAAATCCACCTTGCTGAGGAGCTGCCGAGCCTGCTCCTGGCAGCCGTGCCACTCCAGGAGCAGGTTTGGAGGCCAGGCAGGGATGGCAGCATCCCGGGCACCTCAGCCTGGCTGGGGACACGCACAGGCTGCAGCTGGGACCTGCTGGGACCAATTTGCCGCCGGTGCTCCAGCCGGACCGCGCTGTCACGCTCCAGCCCGCAGCACTTTGTTCTGTTCCCTGCCAGTGCCTCGGGTTTTCAGCACAGGGCTGTGATCCTTCACGCTGCTCCAGCTCAATCCAAGGAGTTTTTTCAGCTGCATGTTTGCCAGGAGATGAGGAGGCCGAGGGACCTGTGTGGGGTCAGGGCTGGAGTCAAGGGATTCAGCCAAGGGAAAGGGAGATGGGGACTGGGGCAGGGGGGATCTGTTCCCCCTGTCCTCTCACCCACACTGGCATCTTTCCCTGAAACCCATTGAATCCATCTCTAGGAGAGCAGGAACACGGTGTGAGGACACCCTGAGGCTCCTTGGCAGGGGAACTCGGGGTGCTGAGGGAAATTTCTCCCCCGGTAGCTCCATTGTCCTGCTGAGATACTCTGGGCTGGAGCCAGAAAGGGAAGAGAGGTGCTGCCAGGTCACCAGGGAATGCAGGGACACCTTGGCAGGCTCTCCCCTGCCACAGCCACCATCCCAGGCATGGGGAGAGCCGTGGGTGCAAGGCACTGGTTGTTCCCCATTCTTGGGGACACCACAGGGGACAAAGCAGGCTCACTGCTCAACAACCCCCTCCATAGGATGTGTCTGCTGTGTCCCCTGAGCTGCATCTCACAGGTTGTGCCCCATCCTTCTCCCTGCCACCAGCTCCTCGCTCTGCCCTGCCAGTGCCTGCCCTAATCCCGCTGCCTGCCCTAATCCCGGTGCTAATCCTATAAACCTTCAGTAAATCCTGCCTGCCCCTGCCTCTCCATGTCCCTTCTCCAGCACAGGCTCTGTGGGGTCCCCAGCTTGGGACCCCAGCTGGTTTTTTGGGGTGCACAAAGCTTCCACCCCAATAATGTCACGCCACTGGAACATGGGGAAGGATGTCCAAATCCTGGGGGATTTGTGCAAAGCGCTGGCAGCTCAAAGAAAGCTGAAGCACCCCAAAATACAGCCCAAAATGTGGCCAGGTGTTGGTTTCACACTCTCAGGAAGCTAACTCTGCTCCAGCCCAGATCCCTTCTCCAGAGCCACCGCTGAGCCCCAGAGCCAGGCAGGGAAATTCCTCAGGGAGTGCTGGGGTAGGACTGGCCCGATTCGCGCAGGGTTCCCTATTTCAGCAGGGCTATTTTAAGACTCCCCGGGCGTGTGGGAGCGGGGCTGGCACAAAGGGAGGTCCCAGTGCTGCCTGTGCCCATCCCAGCTTTTCACATCCTGGGGCTGGGACTGCTCACAGCATTCCAGCAGCTCCAGGGCCCGGCGAGGAGCCATCCTCAGGCTCTGGATCTGCCCCAGCAGGGCTTAGGCGGGCAGTGGATCACTGCATCTCGAGCTGGGCTGGAGAAGATTAAGCCGACCTAAGAATAAAAGCAAGCCCTGCAGTTCAACCAGCTGGGATAAGGCCTGGAACTGGGCCAACCTCCGAGCTCCAGGAGGGGATGGGATTAGGAACCCCGAGCAGATTACCACCCACCCCACATTTTGGTGTGCATGGAGGGTGCTGAGGTCCAGCTGTGCCCCCCAGGCTGGGTGGGTTCCTTGTCCCTCCATTCCCAGTGCTGTGGTGCAGCCCTGTGTGTGTTTCGTGCCACCAACAACCAGTTAAGAAACTCCAGGAAGTGCCCACGCAAATGTAGAAGCTCCAACAGGGGCACAATTCCAAGGGGAATATCCAAATGGATCTCTCCCCGTGAGGCCTTTATTTCTATGGAGCTGCTTCCTTCCCCAGCACACCGGATGAAGGCACTGTGTGTATAAATAAATGTATTTTACATTATCCATCCACTGTGAGATGCCATTGCTGCCAGCAGCGTGGACGGGATCAGAGTGTGCTCCTGGATAACCATTCCCCCATTCCAGGGCCATGCTCCCTTCCCTTTCACTTTAGGGATTGGTCCAAGGGGCAGCTCCTTGATGCCTTGGCTGGTTTCTAACATTCCCCTGCTGCAGCTGGAGTACAAGCCTGCAACCCAACCAATTTTCCCTCCACAACCTGACGTCGCAATCCTCGTCCTGGAGACAGGACCAGGATTCCAGAGCTGCAAAGGGCTCCCAGAGGAGTTTGATGCCATGACCCTCCCCCCTCCGTTTCCCTTTGTCTCCTCTCCGCAGGGACATACCAGGGCCAGTGGGTCGGAGGGATGCGCCAGGGTTACGGCGTCCGGCAGAGCGTTCCCTACGGCATGGCTGCGGTCATCAGGTCACCCCTGAGGACGTCCATCAACTCCCTGCGCAGCGAGCACACCAACGGCACGGCGCTGCACCCCGACGCCTCGCCCGCCGTGGCCGGCAGCCCGGCCGTGTCCCGCGGCGGCTTCGTCCTCATGGCCCACAGCGACGCCGAGATCCTCAAGAGCAAGAAGAAGGGCATCTTCCGGCGCTCGCTGCTGAGCGGGCTCAAGCTCCGCAAGTCCGAGTCCAAGAGCTCCTTGGCCAGCCAGCGGAGCAAGCAGAGCTCGTTCCGGAGCGAGGCCGGCATGAGCACGGTCAGCTCCACCGCCAGCGACATCAACTCCACCATCAGCCTGGGCGAGGGCGAGGCCGAGCTCTCGGTCATCGAAGACGACATCGACGCCACCACCACCGAGATCTACGTGGGCGAGTGGAAGAACGACAAGCGCTCGGGCTCGGGCGTGAGCCAGCGCTCGGACGGCCTCAAGTACGAGGGCGAGTGGGCCAACAACAAGCGCCACGGCTACGGCTGCATGACCTTCCCCGACGGCACCAAGGAGGAGGGCAAGTACAAGCAGAACATCCTGGTCAGCGGCAAGAGGAAGAACCTCATCCCGCTGCGCGCCAGCAAGATCCGGGAGAAGGTGGATCGGGCCGTGGAGGCGGCCGAGAGGGCGGCCACCATCGCCAAGCAGAAAGCGGAGATCGCGGCATCCAGGTAAGGGGGTTCCTGTCCAGCCTGATGTGTCTGAGCTGGGATCCCGCCCTGGGGACTTGGGATAAATGGGATAAGGGTTTTTGTTGTAGTAGGGGTGCTGCTGGAGGAGAGCAACTCGTGGTGGGCACCTGCAGGTTGGTGCTACGTGGATCTCACAGCAGCCTTGGGCTTGCCCAAGCCTTGGGGTGCTGTTCAAAACAGGGTGGATCCAAGCCCAGTTGTCCCTCTGGTAATTCCCAGGGGCCTGGGGATGCACAACGTCCCCAGGCGAGGCGGAGAGGCCACGCAGGGTCACCAGAGCAGGGCAGCCTGGGCAGGGGTGGTGGCACCTTGGTGGCTGTCACAGGCTGACAGCTGTCACTTAGGGGGTACTGGGTTTTTTATCCCATTTTTCCCTCTCCTCTTGGATAAGCAGAAGAGCTCCTGAGGTGCTGTTTGCTTGCATCCTCTGCCTGACTCATAGCCAAGAGGAACTATCCCAGAGCCGGCCTGTGCCGGGAGGATTCCCAGTTATTTCCATTCCCAAAAGGGTTTTTGAGTGGAAAACCTGCCCAATATGTGGCTTCAGCCCTGGGGAGGGTTTGCCCTGTCTGAGGCTCTGCTGGAAAACAGCAGATCTGGGTGACTGATAATGCCCCTTCTCCCTGTGCAGCCCTCATGGAACTGCTCAGAGATCCAGAGCTGGGATCTGACCTGGCTGAAAACCAGCAGGAGGGAAGGGGATAACGAGCAATGTCTAATTAAAGTGTCAATAAGGTCCCTGCTCAAAGATGGACCAGCTCAAGTGCCCTGTAGCTGGTTCCCAACAGGCGCCTGGAGCTCTGTGCCTTGCAGGAAGCTCCCAGACCAGCAGAGAGGCGAGGAGGAGAAGCTCCTCTGGAGAATTCAGGGCTCTTTGTATCACATTTTGGGATGGTTTATTAGAGCATGTCATTCCTTTTCGTTTTCTGAGCAAGAACTATATTTAGCAGCCAGGCTGGGAAAACAGGCTGGGGTTAGGGGAAAAACCCAGGTACCTCCTCAGCCTCCTGTGCTGGATTAATTGCTGGGTCTGGGATATTTGTATGCAGAGTCACACTCGAAATCTTTATCAGCACGTCTGCCAAGGGCTTATCTGCAATATGAATGAACCTCCCAGGCCTGCTTTGGGAGCACATTTGGGCTTGATGATGTTTTTGAGCTGATGGCTGGAAAAAAAATTTAAAATCCCACTAGAATGCCAGGTAGGAACAGACTGCAGAGGAGTGGGAAGACCAGATCCTTCCCTGTGATCTGGGGATGGATGGGAATGCCTCGAAAGGCTGGAATCCTGGAAGTGTGGAGCTCTGGTGTGCTGTGGGAAGGATCCTGGAAATGTGGAGCTCCAGTCTGCCATGGGATGCTGGGTCTGAGGACCTGAGCATCCTCTGTCCCAGGTGGTGATGATCCCGGAACACCACGAGAGTGGGATTGGAAGAGATGCTTAGAGAGCTCTTGGCATCTAATATTCCACCTCTAATTATGAGAGAGAAAGGGGAAAAACTCAAGTCAGGAATGCCAGGCGTGAACACCTCCCTGCTCTGCACTGACTGGGTGGTCCAAGGCTCTGCTGGAGAGCAGCAGGGAGGGTGGAGGATGGAGAGCTGGAGATGGATGGGATTAGGTGGGTCCAGGGAAGGATTCCTTCCCAATATCCCATGTAAATCTCTGCTCTTTTACCTTAAACCGCTTTGTCTGAAGCCTCCAATCCCTCAGCTCGGGCTCTCCCCCCTCGCGAGGGTTTTGGCAGAGTCCCTGAGCCTGCAGAACCAGAGCAGAGCAAGGTTTTACATACTGAGATCCAGCTAGAAAAGCTTTCTTATTAATCTTAGTCCGATTAATTTTAAAGCTTCCTAATGAAGGAACCCTCCCCTGCAGTGCCCACACCAAACTGCGTCGTCCAAAATGCCACCAAACAGACCTGGGGGAGAATCCTGGTGCTGATTCCCGAGGTTTTGGGACTCAGGGGTGGAATATCCCCCTTCTAATGCCAACATAAACTCCGATTTCCCAGCACCTGGCGTGGCTGTGCATGTGTGTGTGTGTATTCTTTTCTGTCTGATCATCCTGAGTTCACTCTGCAGCCTTTCCCTTGGTGGGGGGAAAAATAAAAATAAAATAAATATGTGCCCACCCACGGCTTTCATTAAATTTGTAGGAATTCAGTATTTTTGAAAACTCTGCCGCTCTGTCAGATTTGGTTGGAATTGGCCAACACGTTCAAAAGTTATTAGTGTGGGAGTGATGGCATATAGATATATAAACAGCACAATCACAGGAGTGAGCCCCATTTCCTGAGGAAAGTAGGCTAAAAAACACAGTGTGCTGGAGACAACTAAATTGCTCTCCTAAAGTTGTTGGAGTGTGACTAGAGCACAGTGATATCTGCACGTTTAAGGCATCTCTTTTAGGGTGGAGAGGAGATTCTCCTAAATTGTCTTTGCTGCAATTAAAATGGGAGAATGCATCATTCCCTCTGATTGGATGGAATTGTTCAGGTGAAGTGAAAGGGGAAGAGGGGATGTGAATGAGGGATGAGGAACTCCTCTTGATAGCAGCTGGCCCATCCCTGAAGTGTTCAAGGCCAGGAGAAAATTTGGAGCAGCCTGGGATAGGGAAGGTGTCCCTGCCCAGGGCAAGGATGGAGCTGGATGAACTTTGAGGTCCCTTCCAACCCAAATCTTTCCATGATTCCATGAAAAGGAGGGAGACAAGGAGGGTTCTCTGAGTGCTCTAGGAGATCTTCATTCCCTCTCAAATCAGCCAAGAGCCAGAACTCTTTCTGCTGCCACCCTGGAAGGATGAAGGATGAGCTGGACACTCCAAGTCCCATCTCATTAGTGCTAATTGAAACCTCAGGCAAACTTTCTGTAGGCACTGGTGTATCATCATCCACTAAAATAAAATATCCAGGCAACAAAGGTGGGCCAGGGAGCTCATGCCAGCCCCTGGTTTTTGGCACAGCAGCCTGCTGTGGAGGATGGATGCACAGGGAGAGTCGGGGGAGATCAGGGCTGACTCCAGCTCTCCAGGATGGATGGTGGCAGGTGTAAAGCAAAGCAGACAGACCCCACATCTCTCCAGGCTTTCCTGCTGCTTGCACAGTTCAAGGGTTTGTAATCAGTGGCTGGGCTGGTTATGGGAGGAGGGACCATCACTGGTGGCAGGGATGAGTGCCAGGGGTGGGTGGCACGTGTCAAACACTTCGCTCCTCTCCAGCACAAGCTTCATGGGGGATCTGCTGTGCAGCACCTTAAATCAGAATTCCTGGGAGCAGCCAGTGCCCCAGCTCCCAGAGGGAATGCTGCTCCCAGGTCAGTCCTAAGTAATGCTCCTCCTGGCATAATTATAGCTGAGCCTTGCACCAACCAGGAGAAAAATATAATTAAAGCTCCATGGTCTCAGGGGGAGCTGGGCCGCAAATTAGCACCGTGTCAGTCAACTTCAGGCAGGGGAAGTGGAGGGAAATTGGAAAAGGAAGCAAATAAAGGCAAGCTGGCAGCGAGGAGGGGAGAAGGGGAATGTTTGGGCTCGGCCTGGATGCTCCCTCAGGACGCCGCAGCGAGGGCGAAGCAGCGGCTGACGTGGGGCAGAGAGCGGGCATGAGCAGCAAAGTGCAGGAGGTTCTTAGAGCCAAACAGGTATTTTCTTGAGAAGAATGGAAACACAGCCCGGGCAAAGCCCAGAGAAAAGCGGAGCCGTGCTCTGCGAGTGGCGGTAATGTCCCCACCGGCGCTCCCCGGCCCCGGTAATGCTGCTGCTGCTTAATGCTCTGCCAGGCCTGAGCCTGCAGCTCTGCCATTGTCTGGGCTGCCTTTGATTTCGGGTTGCTGCCGCTTTTTGGGTGCCTGGGGGGGCTGGCTGCTGACCCTCATCCCGCCTCGTGCTGCCCCAGGGGCTCCTGCTGCGGATGGAGAGGCAGGAGGGGTGGAGGGGTGGGGGTTAAGGCCCCCAAAAGGGTTTTGTGTCCCCTGCCTTGGGTCAGGACAGCAGGGACAAACAAAGCCAGGATGGGGTAGAGCTGAGCTGGCTGCAGGGATGGGGCTGAGCTGATGCCCAGGTGGGGCAGGGTGTCCCACCAGCCCCTCTCTGGGCAGCTTTGAGTGCAAGGGGGATTCCTCTGTTTGGAGAAGTGCTGCTGTTCCCTGCTGAGGCCCTGCCAGCCAGCTGGAGCTCGGGAATTGCAGGAGTCACCTCAGCCCATGAGCTGGGCACTGATGGGGCCACTGAGGGCATCACCTGGAGCCCAGCAGGTCTCGTGTGGGGTGAATGTGCTGCCTCCATCCCTTCCCAGTCCCTCCATGCTTTCCTTGAGAGTCAGGGAGGGAAACACAGAGGAGATGGAGGGATGGATGGATGGATGGATGGATGGATGGATGGATGGATGGATGATGGATGGATGGATGGATGGATGGATGGATGGATGGATGGATGGATGGATGATGGATGGATGGAGGGATGGATGGATGGATGGACTCAAAGGCTGAGAGCAGCAGGGGCAGGAGGTGATTCTCTTCACAGCGCCTTTTCCTTGCTCCCCCCAGCTCTCTCCCCCAGACCTTCCCAATCCAAGAGGAGCAAAGCCTGGGCTGGCAGCTTCCACCAGGCTCTGCTGCTGATGGAACTGAGCATTCCCTCCTTCCCTGCCACCTCCCTCCCAGCTCCTGCCGGTGCTGACGGGGGTCAGGGGACACGATCAGGATGGGCTGTCATTCCTGCCGGTGGTGTGTCCTGCCAGCCGGGATGACAAGGACACATCAGACTCGGGGCAGGCACATTCCCACTCCAGTCCAGCCCCTCCAGGCTCAGCCATCCCGGAGTGTTCCATCCCCCCCTCCCCACGGCCGGCTCCTGCGCGATGTGATGTGGGCACCGTGGCTGTTTACGTGCTCCTGCCATCCCAATTTAATAACTTCCTGCTCAGACAGGATTTGCAGCCTTAAGCCCTTTTGTGGCCGTGTCAGAAGTCAGGAGCAGCCTCC